GAGAGGGGAAAGGGCAGAGGGCGGGGTGGGAACCTGGTGGAGGAGAGCAATGGTGGTGGTGGTGGGGGGGGGAAGGAACATTTGTAATAATATGAACAATAAAAACTTATTAAAAAAATAAAATAAAATAAACAAATTTGAAAAGAACCTGTAGGTTATCTAATAGCATTAAGTCAATATTAATTCCCCAATTTTTATTAGGGAACTAGAAGCCCAGTACATGAGATTCATGCACTCAGGGGGTTCCTCAGCCCAGCCTGTGCCTTCTAGAAGTCTGGAACCCTTTGGGGGGTATCTGCCTGCTGGCTTAGGCCTGATTCCCCCTCGTGCAGTCTGGGGCTCTCGCAGTTCAGGACCCCTCACTCTTTACCACCTGCCTGTAGCAAAGATGGGAGAGGCTCCCACCACTGCCGCCATGAGCCGGGCTTCTGGCTGACTGGTGCTCCCCCTGTGGGAGTGCACTGAACACCAGGGGCAGCTCCTGCATTGAGCTTCTGGTGGTTAGTGCATGTCATAGTGACTGGTCATTCCACAGTTCGATCAATTTGCATGTTAAACTTTTATTATATAGGATTATGGAAGAGAATATCTTTATTTTTAGGAAGAACACATTGAAGTGCCCCTTTTATTTCTAAATAAAGGAACTTTATAATATAAATAACTATGGAAAATGTTAACATTTATAGAATCTGGGTGAAGGGTATTTGCACTGATTTGAAAACTTCTGTGAATCTCAGGTTATTTAGAAGTAATAAAACTTGATCATGTTGAAGAGGGAAGTGCAGAGCAGACTGAATAAAGCAGGAAGATATGTTGGTTCTGGTCCAGGTGACCAGGAGGAAGAAGAGACAAAGATCCGGCTGCTGCTCCGACAGTTCAGACAAATGAAGCACTGCCTCCTCACAAATAGATAGAGACAGGTGACACTGGTTCTTTTCAAAATCATGAACTGTTACCAATCTGGAAAACACTGCCATTCCCCCCCAAAGAAAAGGAAAAAGAAAAGAAAAGGAAAGAAAAGAAACCCTATTCTTTTTGTCAAATAAAATAGGGATTTTCCCTGTGAGAATAAATATTAGTGTCTGGTCACATAAGGATATCTTACCAAGGCTTTAATGTTCACAAATGATGAAAAACTTCTCATAGCAATGGTTGGGTTTTAGACGCACACATCAGCTGAGCTGATGTTCCCTCTCTCTGGAACATGGCAGATGGAGTCCGAAGTTGTTCAACCAGTGGGATGGAAAGATGCAATTCTTTGTGTTTGTGTCATTTAGTGCAGTCACCCAAACATGTTCCCAGTGGAGTGCCCTTTGTACAGGCTTAGAATGAGAACCACAGATGTACATAAAAGCCATTCAGCAAAATTATACTCATCTGCATGAGTGGGAGAGGGGATGTTCAATTTATATTTGAAAACAAAGGGGTGCCTACTCCTGTTACTGTGAATCTTGCTTTGATTAAATGCAATTATCTTATTTAACTCTTGCCATCTTCACACCTAGTGCTTTAGAAAAGGCAAAACTGAGGTTCAAAGAAGTAAAGCATTTGCCCTGAGATCATACCTGGTAGCAGAGTCTAGATTTGAAACTAGGTCCTGTTTATTTAAGACTTCCTGCTCTTTCTAAAACTCCATCTCCTTTCCCTTTTCTTACTTCCTAAGAAGCATCTCCCTTTGTAGACATTGATCTTGCACTCAGTTACAGATAGGCCTCATACTGTAAGAGTAGCACTGTTCCCCTTGCAGGGAATGGTTCATGATTGGGATTGCAACCCGATTTGAGCCAATAAAATATACAATAGTAGTCCCCTTATCTGCAAAGAGATATATTCCAAGATCCCCCAGTGGAAGCCTAAAACTGTTGATAGTACTGAAATTATATATATATATATATATTCATGTTTTTTTCCCTATATAGGCATATCTTTATACTTAAAATAAGTACTTTAAAGCTTGGCTTTGCCAGCCTCACTACTCTGGTGCTTTGGGGCCATGATTGAATAAAATAAGGGTTACTTGAACACAAGCACTTCATTATTGTGACAGTGGGTCTGATAACCAGGACAGCTACCAAATGTCTGATGGGCAGGTAGCATCTACATCATGCAAATGCTGGACAGAGGGATGATTCACTCACATACTGGGCAGGATGGAGCAGGACAATGGGAGATTTCATCACGCTCTCTTCTCCCAATGGCATGCAACTTAAAACTCATGAATTGTTTATTTCTGGAATTTTCCATTTAATACTTTCAGACTATGGTTGACCCTGGGTAACTAAAATTGCAGAAAGCAAAACCGCAGATAAGGGGGGACTCCTGTATATAGAGAAATTCACTGGGCCTTCTGGGTAAGTTCTTCCTCAATCTCATGGAAGTGCTTGTGGAAGCAAAGCCTTTTCTCCAGCTTGGACTCTAAGGAGAAGTCATAGGGTAGTCACAGCTGTTGCTGGCCAACTTCATAGACTACAAGAGGAAACCGCCTCAGGATGGAATGATGCTGTGGATGATATGTAGAGATATGGAACAAGATACAGATTAGGAACATGTGTTTGTGATCATTGCTTCTACTCATGTTCCTGCAAGAATATGTTCAGGACACTCTCTTGTTTTCCCAAAGACTCCACTCTTACAGTTATTGCTGGTTTTCTTTCTCTTCACTGTCAATATCTCCCTCTATACTGGTTATTACAAACATGGGTTGGATTCTTTCACATTAAAACAAAATAAATATCTTTCACTTAATCTTCTCTTTGAGCTACAGCTCTTTCCCACCTCTTCCCCTTTTCAAAACTTTCTGTCTATACCTGCTCACCTTCCATTCACATTTTAACTCATTCTAGCCTGGCTCCTGTTGTCACTACTCTCATAGAACTGCTCCACACAAGCCCACTGCCAGCCTTCATCTTACCTGTGCCAGTGGGTGTTTCTTCTCATTTTTCTTGACTTCCCTGAAGGATTTAAATGGGTAGAACATTCTCTCTTTCTCGGATACTTTCCTATCTTGGCTGCCATGACTCCACACTCCCGTGGCCTTTCCCCTGCCCCACGGGCTGCTGCTTCCCTGCCTCCTGCACTTACTTTCCACTAGTCTTGAATTTCTAATTGTTGGTTTTTCCGAAGGCTTGGTCCTAGGTCTTCTACTCTTCTCTATTTATTTCATCTCTTCTTATATTCTCTCAACACTCAATATTTGAGTGTCTACTATATGTCAGACGCTGTTCTAGGTACTAGAAATAAAGTTCCTATTTGTATGAAGCATACATTCTAGTGGAAGAGAAAATAGACAAAGAAAAAACAACCAAATAAGTGGATAATATCATGTCAGGTAGTGATAAGTGCTATGAAGAAGAATAAAGCAATGATAGTCACAATGATCCTGTTTTTGGATAGGATGGCCAGAGAAAGATTCTCTAAGGAGACATTTACATCTGAGAAAAGAGAAACGTGTGAGAAAAAGTTAAGGATTATTCCAGATTTTTGACTTGCATTAAAGGAAGAATGATAGTGCCATTTTCGGAAATAAAGAAGACTAAGGGAGGAGGAGATTTGGGAGGGGAAAATAAAAGAATTCTGGTTTGGATTAAAGTGGTTGGGCACATTAAAGTGGTTGCTTGGATAGATTAAGTTCCTCTTGTGAATATTCCTTCCTCAGGTCTTAGGGAAACCTTTTCTGATCCCTGAGAGCATCCCACCTGCCACTTCCTCTGCTCAGAGTGTCTGTCACCTTCCTTAGTTTATTGTCTTCATGCTGGTCACCACATTCTGTAATAACAAAGCTTGGCTATTGTTTAGCTATTCCCACTACAAAGATCTGGGAAAGCAGGGACTGTCTGTCTTGATCATAGCCGCATCCCCTGGGCATAATATTGTGCCTGGCACAGGGTAAGGGCTCAACCAATAATTGCTGACTGAGAGAACCAAGGGTAGGCCAGTCCTCTGGAGAAGTCAGGACAGCTGGTTCTTGCCTGAGCTCAGCCAGCTATATGGCTTCGGCAAGTCACCTCTGTGGTATTTTCTCAATTTCAAAAGTCTTTTGATTAGATGATTTCTAAGAGTTAATTTGTCCATTTTATACGTTTAAAATTAGGATTTTAATTTGTCTTGACCAAATTTATACCCAGTAATAATGCTGTTGAAGGCCTTTCTGATGCAGAACGAGTGCAAATTATCTTTTAGGACATTTACCACAGATATCCTATAGAGTTCTATATTCCCACTCCTATTCCCCCTAAACCCTCAGTCTCTAAAACCGTCCATTATGCTGGGTTCCACAGTAGGGACAGGAAGAAACAATTGGAAATGAAGAAGTGAAGGAATTCATTTTCTGGAACATGAATGAGCATCTATTCATCAGTATAGTTCAAACCTTTTGAGGTATACTCTTACATTTCATATGTATTTAGGGTCATTTGACTATTAAGGCATATTTTCACAAAACCCTGTGAGGTAGGTATTAATACTCCCATTTCACTGATGTGAGGAAGTGAGGTTTGGGGAGATTGATTTTCCCTAGTTCAAACAATGGCAGGTGGCAGAAAAAAAGACTGGAGTCCATATTTCCTCACCTACACCCATACACACATTGGGCTTTCCACCACACCACTCATAGATGCCTATAGTCAAGGGCAAACCCACTGGAGTGTAATCAATTTCTAGCAAACTCGGGTCTATATGTTGAATCAACAAATAAAAGGAAATTGGATTAAAAAACACTTTCTTAGAACCCAGTGTTTGAAAAACAAAGTTTACATTTCAACTAATCTGAGAAATGCTATAGCAAAGCCATTAATTACTATAGGTAGGTGGAAATAATGCCACAAAAATATCAACTTGCTTATGGAAGCAAGAAAGATTTCTGTTCTGAAATAGCAAGATTTCCCAGGGATCCTTCTGAAGAAGGAAGAGGGGATGCCAGGAATGTGTATTCCCTACATGGCCATCCATCCTAAGAGCCTTCACTTGGTCTCCCTTTTCCTCGGCAACTTTTGAAGATTCACTTTCAAAAGAATCTTGTTCTTAATTGGAAAGGAATTCTTTTCCCAATAAGGTAGGTAACCTTATCATAGGTCTGTCGCTCTAGTGCATGTGAGTCATGAGTGAAGATATGGACCTATGTCTCAACAAATATGCAAAACCACAAGTGAATCTGAAGGAGTACCTTTTATTTTCAAACCCACAGACCATTTGGCATTGATATGAAGCAGGGAGAGAAAAAACAATGCAGGTGTGATGTAATTCCTTTCTCTCTCTTCCAGCCTGGAAAAGGGGGTTGGATGTTGTGAATAGAGGAGGGAGTCGTTGCTTTTTACTTCCCTATCAATAAATAATGACAAAAGCAAACAACTAAGAAACATAAAAAGCAAGATCATAAATAGAAAAAACGAATAAATAACATTTATTTTGTACAAAACGGCTGTCAGTCCAGTGTCCTCGAGTCCCCACGGGCAGAGAGCACCCCGCGGGCAGGGCGGAGCCCTCAGAGCAGCAGCAGGGAGCCCAGCAGCAGCTCGCCCTGGCCCAGCAGGCGGCCCCGCTTCAGCCCGCGGCCCTTGGCCTCGGCCTTGACGCGCACGGCCAGGCGGCGCACCTCGTCCTCCGACAGCCCGTCGAAGCAGAAGTCCTGGTCGAAGCCGGCCTTGCGGCTCCGCCGGAGCACGGCGCTGCGCTGCGGGCGCGCCTTGCCGGGCGGCTGCAGGACCAGGCTGACGCGGCAGCCCGCGGCGCAGGGCTCCGTGGCGCCCCCGGCCGGGCCCTCGGGGCGCAGCAGCCGGAGGCGGAGGCGCCCGCTGGCCGCGTTGTACTCGGCGGCCAGGCGCAGGGCGCCGCAAGCGCGGCCCAGAGCCACGGTGCCCTCGGCCTCCACGCACTCGGGCCGCGGGCCGGGGTCCGACGGGGGGGACGCGGAGCGGGTCCGGGCCGGGGACCCTGCCTCGTCCTCGCTGGACACCGAGCGGGCGCGGGCCGGGCCGCGACTCCTCCGGGCCTGCAGCGCGCGGCTCAGCAGCCCTTCGGGGCCGCGCAGGAGGCGGTGGCCGCGAGGCCGCGGGGTGAGCGTGTTCCGGGGCGGAAGGGTATCTCCGGAGGCTCCGCCAGGGTATCCGAGGGGGGCGTCTCCGCCGCCGCCGTAGGTGTGGGCCCGCGGGCGGAGCGCGGGCGGCGGCAGGAGCGCGGGGGCGCCGGGGCCCCCCAGGAAGAGCGACTCCTTGCGGCGGGTGTGCGGGCTCTCCAGCAGCGCGCAGAAGCCGTAGGCGGTGCGCGCGCGGGGCAGGTGAGGCAGCGAGAGCGCGGCCTGCGAGCGCGGGTCCCAGTCCGTGCGCCCCGCGCTGTCGTCGGCCCCCCGGGGCCACAGGTCGGGCTCGGCTGCAAATCTCCGGGGCACCGCGGCGGCCGGCGGCGGGGAGTCGGGCGCGCAGGGCGCGGGCAGCCGCGGCGGGATGCAGAACTCGGGGATCCGGCCCGGGGTGAGCACGTTGGAGAAGGCCGGCTCCGGAGCGGCGCTGCCCGCGGCCGAGGCGCGGAGTTTTCCGAGGAGCCGCATTCTCCGAGTCTGTGGCTGCAAGTGGCGGGAAGAAGCGCTCCTGCAGGAGAGAGGAGATGATGAGTTTGGGCACCTGGGGGTCCCTGGAGACATGGCTGGACCCCCTCCCCCGGACTCCCTCCCCCGGACCCCCTCGGAAGGTTCCAACCAACGCGCCTACCACCGTGGCCAGTCTGAGTGGAGCTCTCGCGCACCCACAAACCAGCCCTGCCTTTCATTCATTGGTACTAAATAAACGACCACATAGAAATCAGACCTTTTCTTATTTCTCAGTCACTCTGGGGCAAGAGCTGCAAGTTCAGAGTCCGTTGCCTCCAGGTCCTGGCTGAGAAGCCAGCTTCAGCACTGCGCCCGGGACAGTGGCGCTCCCCTCTTATACCGGCAGCCGGGGTCCCGCCCCCTGGCTGGGCGCCCAGCTCCTGGAGGCCACCCCTTCCCGGAGAGCAAGCACAGCGGCCCTGCAGCGGGTGTGAGCGAAGCAGTCGCAGGAAAGCTGTTGCGGGAACTGGCACCCTCTGGTCAGCCTGGGAACTTCATCCGCTCTGCTTCCCCGAGCCCCCTCACCAAGCCCCGTAGGTGAAAAGAGGGCGCCTCGCAGTCCTGCCAAGGGACAATTGGCAGCTGAAAACGAAGGCTGCCTCTTGGAGAAGGTGAAGCAGGGTGAGGAAACAGGAAATTTCTTTTTGCTAAGAGCTAAATTCTGTCACCCTGAACGTGACTTACATGCCCCAGCGGCACTAAAATTCTATACGTGGCAGGTGTACAGAATATTTCTATTCTATATACCTGCCCTGTATAGACCAATATGGTTTCCATTGGGTTCCTGTATTAGTTGTTTACCTGTCCTCTGCTGGACGATGGCTTCCTTAATAGCTTAGCTCCAGGCTCAGACAATGCATCAATACTGGTGAAAGTGAATTAGTGTATGCAAAATTTTCTCAATGACTACAGGCTCTGCCTGTCATCTTGATTGTCACAAAAGAGGGGGCTTCTGGCTCATGCCCTTAAAATAACACTTGATTTTTTATGTTATTTATTTGTTTTATTTATTTTTGCAAAGCTAGCCCTTTTCCCTCTGCTCCAGCCTAGAGATATCCAGTTAGAAAGCATCTTACAGAAAATCTAAGTTGCCTCTTTCCACCCAAAACCTTTATTTTCTAAGTTGAGAAAACTGGAAGTCCAGAGGGACTTGAGGAAATTCCGTAAAGGTTAAGCAAAGCTAGTTAATGCCACAACCTGGAACTAGCAAGTTCCTGTTTGGCTTTGTGTGTGATGCTTCCTGTTACCTGAAATGCCCTTTCTCAGCTTTTTTTTTTCTTTTCTTTTTTTTTCTTTTCTTTTCTGTAGGAATTCGTTTATTTTCCATAATTCAGCCTTTGGGACACTTTACTCAATTGCCCCACCATAGTTCATCAGCCCCTCCTTATTCCCTCTGTACACACTGTCTATGTCTCACCTGCTCCATTTAGCATGTTGCTTTAGAATTTTTTGGTTTACAAGCATATCTTTCCTAAGAGAGTACAAGTTTCTTGAGGGCAAGGACCGGGGCAATTCAACCAGAGTGGAGTTTGGGGGACCTATTATGAATATATATAAAATATGTAAGTGTTCTGATTCAGAACCTGAATTTGCCTCCAACCCAGATTCATTACCTAAGGACCAGTAAGGTTCTCTTATTTATCTCTTATCCAATTTCAGCACCTGGGGATACAATGCCAGGTAAAGAATAAGTGTTCAGTAAACATTTGATGGATTATATTGTATTGAACCTGACAGGTCTTATGACTGTCAGGTGCTTGTAACTAAATATCTCTCTGTGCTATTCCATTTTTTTTCTTACAAGCCAGTAAGGTGGACATTGCTTCTGTTGATCAGATGAGAAATAGGCTTGGTTAAGAGACTTGTTTAGGGTCATTCAAACTATGAATGCATTGTATTAAGTCCTAGTTTTCTGCTCCTCCCTCCTTTCCTCCTTCCTTCCCTCCTTCCTTCCCTTTTTTCCTCCCTTCCTCCTTTCCTTCCTTCCTTCCTTCCTTCCTTCCTTCCTTCCACCATTCACTCAGTTCATTGCAATTCACTGTCTATTACAAGGCTAGCCTTTTTCTTTCTGTCTATTGTACCAAGCATTGTGTGCGTGACTAGTGTACCTTACACCAGAATTTTAATTCTTAAAGCAACCTAGTCCGCTATTAAATATTTCCCATTGTCCTTGCTTTGGAATAAGTATTATTAGTTCCAAATTCTTAAGGAGAATGAATGTTTTCCCTGGATTAGTAACCGATGCTTTTACTTTAGTATATGCTTTTGTGATGGCACAAGCCTGAATCAATATGCAGCCAAGGAGCAGCAACCATTCCTGCTGAAGCCTCACTTGGAAGCAGAGAAGTCCCTGGGGCTCTGACCGAATCATTTCTCTTTGGTTCTTCAGACCAATCTGCAAATTAGTGGGCAGCATGATTTCTCTAAAGCAGAGCCCACCTGCATTGTCCTGAACGTGCCAGTCACTTCAAATTAGATCTCAGTGAAAATGGCTTTCGCGCTCCCGAAGGTCTTTGTGTCGTGAACAAATAAACATTTCATCGGGGTAAATACCACTGAACACAGCGCCTGGGATATGAATTATTGTGCTATGAGCACTTCCATGTTCCTAGAACAACATAAGCATGGCTACAAACACAGTCTCCATCTAGAGGGTTTTCCAAAACCATTTGTTTTCCATGAATCATTATTCCACAGAAGAGAAGGTAAGATACAGAAAAATTACTTACCCACAGCTATGCTGCAGTCATTCAGTCATTGAAACTCATAGCTGCAGGCCATATCGATAGTTAAGAGGCCTGGTTTCCTTCCTGATTCTGAAATCACATTGGGAGCAGTGAAAAAGAACCTCTTCATGGGAAAACTCTGATCACTTGAGTTGTTTTATTGTTTTGTGTCTTATGACCATATGAGGTCAACCATCATCTTGTATTCAAAGCTTTGAAATTATTTCAAAAAACCTATCCCAATAATAATTTTTCCTGAAAACTCATATAATGGGTCAAAATTAATTGCTAAACAACCCTCTAAAGAAGGTCATGATGTAAAAACTATGGCTTATAGAAAATAAACAACTTGTCTCACACCAAGTAAGAACAAAACTGGGGCTCACACCCAGAGCCACGTGGCACCTCATCTCTGAGCTTATAACCACTTTCTGATAGAGCCTCCTTCCCAGTTGTTTATCCTGAACCATTTCCTCTCCAGGCAGTTAGATAAGAAAGGGGACCTTTTCCCAAGGCCTTGAGTTGAAACTATACACCTTGTTGTTTACACACGCATCTAATTGATTAAAGTATGTGATTATCATAAGCAGGAAGCCACTTGATGTTATTGATGTTAGTGCAGTGCTGTCACCTGAGGAGGAGTCCTTGTCTCTCCTCCCACTCCCCCAACCCCTGCCAGGATAGAAATTAAGAGAATAGGCAAAGCAGATTCAGAAGAGAGGTTTGCTAAATACAGGGGGAGAAGAAAAGAGAGAGGGAGGGAGCCTGAAGCACTAAGGGAGCACACAATGACAGAGTATGGCTCCCCAAACTGCTGCTGGCATCTGCCAGAAGAGGGGGGTGGAGTGGGGTTGTTCCTGGAGCAGGTGCACAGTGGATCTCTTTGTTCTCCAGGTTCCTGCTCTGGACTGGCTTTGACTGGCTTAGGTGCAGAGGCATTGATTCCAGGAGTACTGGAAGGGAAACCTAATCTTGAAGAGGCTCAAGAAGTAATTAAAGGACATTGCTATCCACCTAAGAGGGGCCTACCTCAGTATCATTTGTAAACAGATCCTTGTCCTCCCCGGAAGTACACTCCATTCTCTTTATCCCAAGTTCCAAAATAGGATTGTTCCAAAAAGTGATTTACATAAAAAAAGATTCAGGGGATGTACCAAAGGCCAGATCCTGACATGGTGAAAATGGAAGAGACTTGTAATTAGGTGTGTAAAGAACCCTGAATGAAGTAGACTTGGTGGTGAGCATAATATAGTATATACAAATATCAAGTTATAAGGTTGTATACCTGAAACATGTTATAAACCAATGTTACCTCAATAAAAAAAAATTGATGCATATCAATACCTATGCCCCTAGAATGGAAAAAACACGATGTAAAGGTCGTTCAAGAGGTTCCAGTGGGAAGACTTGGAATAATTAGAACTACTACAGGAGCCTCAGGTTCCATTAGCAGCTGTGGAAAACCAGTGAAGAACCAGTCTAAGTGTCCAGTGGTGTGGGAATGGCCACATCCCCCTTACAGAAAAAATCATGCGAAATCATCATTAGGAAGACCATACAACACAGAAACGTGTCTGATGGAACATTTGATGAAACTAGCAATGTACAAAATTATATATTCCTTAACATCACAATTGGTAATGATGAGGTTTTCTAAGGTCAAGAATGTAAGAGAAGCCCGGCCAGTTTCAATCAGTAGTTAGAGCATTGGCCCACAAACCTTAGGGTCTCAGGTTCAATTCCTGGGCAAGGGCACATACCTCGATTGCAGGTTCCCTAGCCCTGGTAGCAGCACATATGGGAGGCAAACAATTGATGTGTCTCTCACATTGATTCCCCCCCCTTTCTCTCCCTCTCCTTCCTCCCTTCCACTCTCTCTAGAAATCAATGGGAAAATAATCTCTAGTGAGAATTAAAAAAAAAAAAAAGAAGAATATAAAATGTTGCAACAATTTCTATTTTGTGAGTATTGAAGTTTTTATCAACTTTGTTCTGCATCCTTGAAAGTTAGTTTGAGCAAGCTTACAAAAATATATACAGAATGACCAGATAAAATAAAAAAGTAGACGAAATAATTGCAACAGAAGGAAAGCACCAGTAGATGTGGTAAAACCAGAAATAAGGTTAGAATTGAAAACATACAGTGAAGATTTGTAACTGCTGCAGCACTACAGGAGCAGCCCAGGATCTGGCATCAGAAAAGCTGACACTCAGGGATTTACTTTTTCTACATTCTTTCACAAGTTATTGGATCTCCAATATGCCTTATATTCTACTCAGGGGTGTCGAACTCAATCAGAGAAGGGGCCAAAATCTAAAATCCAGCCTAAATCGCGGGCCGAATGGTTTACCGAACAGTCATAAACTGACAATGTTAACCAGAAATGTGAATTTATTGTAAAATGAATGGAACAATCTTTTTCTTAACAGTGCTGTTAACCAACTCACATGCTATCAAGCAAAACAGTAATATTGGTATCAAGCAAAACAGTAATATTGGAATGTACCTAAAATGCTCATTGTTTTGTTTTCTGGCTAGATGTCTGATACCGTTTTCCCCGGATCAATGAGTCAAATGTTCGGTTTTATTTCTTGGGCTGTGGCAACCCGCAAAACAGCATGGAGGTTGTCATCGGTAATGCGTGATCTG